TTTTTTCCCCCTGTAAATTTTTTTAAAAGGCTAATAGTCTCCTAAGTGGACTGTAAGGGTATATAAATGCATAAATATGAAAGCATTTTGGAAGAATTACCTTTCATATTCTCTCTCTCTCTCTCTCTCTCTCTCTCTCTCTCTCTCTCTTTCTCTCCATTTCAACCTGCTTTAAACAAGTAAATCCTCCTCCAACCATAGGTCCGGCTTTAGCTGCCACCCATTTCTTTTCTCCCCTTTGAAGCCAAACCTGTGAAATGTTGTCTGCATTTATCTTCATTTCCTCACCTCCCACGGCTGCCCCCTTGGCTCAGCACACGACAATCTGGCTCCCACCCCATCACTCCCCGAAACGGTTCTCACCACAGCCACCCATGACCCTGTTGCTAAATCCAGCCCATGCATTTTGATTGGATGAAACTTTTAATGCATTAGTTATTGTCTAATATGACCTCCCTCCCTCCCACAAGCTGGCGATTCTCTCTTTCCTGCACATCCGAATATTACTCTCTCTGGGGTTTTCTCCTGTATCTGGGTGATCCTTCTGAGACGACGTCTTTGGCCCCACATGAAATGTCTGTGTCTCACCACTGACTTTCCTGGGAATCACTCCTACGTGGCCAGTCTACATCTCCAGCTCACGTCTGTCTCCAGAGGGGTGGACCCATATAGCCAGCAAGTCCCTCAGACTCAGCGTCATTCCTTCCCACGCCACGGTTTCTTTTCCTGATCCTACTCCAGAGAATGGCTATCCAAGGACGCATCCCCACGCTGGAGTTCTGGCGTGGCTCTGATTTCCTTCTCTCCCTGACCTTATCTATCCGAACAGTGCCCAAGTCCAGGGAGCTCCTGCTCCATCCCCTCCCCTTGTCTCCCCGCCACGTAATCTCCCCCCACGGCAGGCCCCACTCCCATTCCCTTGTCCCAGTGTCTATGACAGACTCCCCAGTGGCCTCCCTGCCTCAGCCTTACCGTCTCCCGATCTGCTCTCCACGCTGCTTCCAGAACCATCTTTCTAAAATGCAGACCTGGTCATGACACTCCCCTTCTGCAAACAATGCAATGACTCTCCGTGGCCGCCGCCAGGGTCAAGTTCAAACCCATGAGCCTGGTATCGAGGCCCTGCTTGTTCTCAGCCCTCTGCAGGTCACCCCTGGAGCTCTGTGCTCCGTGTCCTTAATGAACACTCGCCCGAGGAAGAAGGAGGGCATGGTGTGCTGAGGGAGATCGCTATCACGCTATCACGGCCAAACAAACAAGTGAAGACCCAATTTTCCTATTTGGTTGAAAGAAAGGTTGTGGCACCAGAGAGTTAAAAGCATTTCCAGCAAGACTCCCGCTCTGCGGGGTCTGAGGAGAAGGCACTGGTTATTGTCACGGGCGTGGAGCGCGGGCTTGCTTCACTTTTCTGTTCCAACATCTGTGCCTTCTCTGAAGATGCTCTTTCCTCCCAGGCACACACATACTTACCAACTGCATTGGCATTGGAAAGCTAGTGGAGAGGCGTCAGCATTGGCTGTGTCTGGGTGGGCAGGATGACTGGACTGTTTATGTTCTTCTTGCTGGCTTTTATATTTTTACATGGAACTTGTATTATTTTTTTAAAATATATTTTTATTGATTTCAGAGACCAAGGGGGAGAGAGATAGAACATCAGTGATGAGGGAGAATCTCGAGCAGCTGCTTCCTGCACCCCTCCACACTGGGGATTGAGCCTGCAACCAGGGCTCCGTACCCTGACCTCCTGGTTCATAGGTCGATGCTCAACCACTGAGCCACACCAGCTGGGCGAGCTTGTGTAAGAAGAAACAGCGTAAATGACCCCATCTGAAGGTGACAATTAGTAGTAGCACGAAGCTAAGTGATGATACTTTTAAAAGGAGCTTACAGTTGCGAACATGGAGGGGACAATGACATGAGGAAAATGTTGCTTGAATTCAACCCACAGCATTGCTCGCAGGCCAGCCCCCAGGTGCTGCTCTGGGTGCTACAGAGAACAAAGGTGATGACACCTTCCACAGTGGGCGGAAGGTGTCAGCGCACCAGGCAGCATGCTAGGTGCTTTGGTGATGCTATTTCTTATCATCTTCACAACTGTAGGAAGTAGGTATCTTAATTCTGGTTTTGTAGATGGAGAAACTGAGGCACAGAGAGGGGTCTTTTTGGTGTTTTTTTTTTTGTTGTTGTTGTTGTTTTTTATTGACTGGCCCCAGATCACAGCTAATACATCAGGATTTAAACGCAGATATGTCTGACTTCATCCTGTTTGAACTACACAAAACTGGCTTTCTTAAGGATCTGGGAGGGTTGGCTAAGGCAGGGAAATAACACAAAGAAGAAAAGACGGGACAGGACTCCTTGGCCATGTGTGCGTCTTGGGGCGCCATTGCTGCCCTCCCGATGGGATACAAGTTCTGGTTCGGAGGGAAAGTGTGGCCTGGTCCCTGCCCCTGGGCTAGCCAGCAAGGACGCAGGAAGCACAAACTTGTTCGAATATCAGCCTCAGGAAACTGCTGCCTGAGGGGGACGCTCCCCTCACTCCCCTCCCCCAAACCCAACACAATGACACCACAACCAGCACTAGAAACCCTTGTATTCATGAGGCCTCGCCTCTCTCACAGAGGTGTGTGCCAGGCGGAGCATGCTGACTGCTGCTCCAGCGATGGACTGAGCCCCGTTCTTGTTCTCACTGCATGGCTGCCGTCCAGTCCTTGTCTGGGTCAGGAGAGAAAGTCCTGGGGAAAAGGCATCCATGCCCCAAAGTGTAGTAGAGAGAGCTGGGGCGGGGGAGGGTTAGAGGTGATTGGAGAACTAAAAGAGCGAACAGGAGGGTGAAGAAACTCCAAAATGAGCAACTATAGGGACATCTCACCAGCCCGAGGCTGGACGGAGAGGGAGAGCTGCTGTTGACTTGTCCTGGGGCAAGACCACCCTGTGGGAGCTGGAACTAAGGCAGGGGGTGCCCCGTGGAGGTCGGGGTCATCGGAGATGCAGACTGTCCTTGAGATGCTGCTCAGAACAGCAACCGGGGAGAAGCACTTGACCTCCCAGTTCTCATGGCCTCCAGTCTCCGGCCAGTGCCTCTCATTCCCTTGGCAGCCAGAGGACACGGGCCTGGGAAAGTCATTTTCAGGGTTGGTCCCTGTGGGACAGGGCAGAGCAGGGGAAGGGCACTGAAAGGTAGGTGTCAGGTGTTGCCTGACTCCCGTTATCTCCACCAGCCCCACACATCACCCAATGAACAAGCCAAGTTTTTAAAGTGCCTTCTGTGCAGTTTAATCGATGAAAGTGTTACCCTTACGTTCCACCATAGAAGCTCTAGAGCTGGTGCCCTCCCCACCGTCTGCAGCCTCACTCTACTGGTCTATAAAGTAAGAAGGGTGGCCCTAGCCAGTTTGGCTCAGTGGATAGAGCATCAGCCTGCAGACTGAAGGGTCTTGTGTTCGATTCCGGTCAAGGGCATATGCCAGGTTGCAGACTCGATCCCCAGTAGGGGGCGCGCAGGAGGCAGCTGATCAATGATTCTCTCTCATCATTGATGTTTCTATCTCTCTCTCCCTCTCCCTTCCTCTCTGAAATCAATAAAAATATATCTAAAAAGAAATAAAGGAGGGTGGCGATGCGGGGTCTCTGGTTCACCTTCTCCCAGGACATCTGGCTCTGGCAAAACCTCGGAACCCATGGCCACCTCGAGCTGGGCTTGGCCAGGTGAGCCTTTTCCAGGCGGCTCCTGAAGGTCACAGAAGTTAGCGTTTTTAATTATGCGAGGCCAGGTGCGAGGGTAGGGGAGCTGCTGGGAAATGACAAGTGGTAGGCGCAGTCTTCCCAGGCCAGGGCACGTCCCGGCCGCAGTGATGGATGTGCTCAGCCTCCCTGGTTGGCACGGACCTGTCAGGACTTGATAAAGAGCTCACCCAGCACTGTGCTAATATGAACAAGGAAAGATGGGATGGGGGTTGAACACGCCGCCTGCGAGCCATCTGGACAGACAAGGTGAGCAGATAGGCCCTGAAGGGCAGGAGCCGCCTGTGTCCTTCCTGTTGTCTTCCGTGACTGTTCCCTCCCGCCCACTAGACTTTCCTGCAGCAGTCAGCCCTGGTCATCTCAGCTGGAAGGGACTCCAGGGGGAATGAATGACAGAGAGAAGACGGGGAATATATGGCCTCAAGCCCAGAGCGGCCACCAGGGGGCCACCAGGTGGGAGGCAGACTGTGGGCGCCTTGCAAGCCATTGGGAGAGGCTGGGCGTGTCCAAGAACAGAGGAGCCGCCAAGTACTTTCTAAGAGGGGAGTCACATGACAACTGGGTAGGGTGGGGGTGGGGAGAAAAGGTCTGGTGTGAAGAAATTGAGATGTTTAGGACACACAGTGGTTCTGAAGGTACCTCTCAGGTTCTGAGGTCCATCACCGCATTGACTACCAGAAATGGGAGAGAATTGGTTTGTTTTCCATGTTGGGGGCTAAACTTGTTGGGTTTAGTTGGACAGTGAGATGTCTAGGTCAGTGTTCACACAGAAGGTTGGACTCTGGAGGACTCACCAGAGAACAGGACTAAAGCCAACGATTGGCTGGCCTTAGAGGGACAGCTGCTGTGAGCTTCTTTATATTTCTGTTTTCTTTTCCTTTTTTAACTTTATCTTTATTGTTGAAAATATTACAGATGTCTCCCTCCCCCCGTCCCCCCCCATTGAACCTCACCACCCGTTCCTGCCTCCTGCTGTGAGCTCCTTAATGAAGGGCTAATCGGGACTGAAATTAACTGGCCTGGAGCTCAGCGAGAGGAATAGAAAGCAGTCCTAGGGCCTGGGTTCCTCGATGGGTAACTTCAGGTTCCCCAGAGTCTCTAGAGATCATTTCTCACCCTCCAACCCCTCCTTTTTGGCTATCCACCCCGAGATGTGAGCCACACCCCTTCTAGGTCTGGTGTCATGGCTCAAGGGGGAAGCCTGGGCAGAGTGAGGATCTCCATTGGCACCTCCCAGGATGAGAAAGAGGGTTCTTCTTGAAGCAATCTACTCCCCGGGCGGGTGGCTGAGGGAAGGGCCAAGCAGCCTCCTGAGAAGTCGAAGGGACACCCATGAGTGTGACCTGACCTCATGTCATTCTCTGAGGGCAGAGGGTGGTGCTGTCCGGGTGCCATCAGCCACCAGGGTGACGCCCCCTTCTTCCCCTTCTCCAGCGGATCTGTTGGGAGTTGCCGGCCACATCTCCGTAACCTGGGGTCTCCAGAACAAGAGGAGAGGATGTTAACCTTAAGGGGAAAGAAGAGCCCAGAAGAAAACACAGACCCCTCTGGAGGGAATAGCACGTCCAGGGCGTCAAACAGCCTTTGAGACCGAAGGATACTGTGGGGCTCAGGCCAGGGAAGGGCCCGCTAGATCTCTGACGTCTGGTTTTAGAGTGGACAGGCATGGGGAGCCGGGGAGTGTTTTGTAGAAGAAAGGAGATGACGCTAAGGAATCTGGAGGCAGGCCTGGTCTGGCTTTTCTCAGTTTTCCTGGACACCCTTCCCTTCATCCCCTTTCTGTGGCCCCCCTGGACCGGAATGTTTGGGTTCAAATCTAAGCTCCATTTGTTTATACGTCTGATTCCCACGCCACACTCTGAGCCCCTGAAAGGGAGGGTCCCCATCCTGTTCTTCTTTGAAACGGTGGACCCAGCACCGTGCCTGGCACCAAGGGGCTTCGCAATATACACCCAGTGAATGAGGAACTAGGAAGCTAAGGCCTCCACTCTGGAGCCAAACTACCAGGATTTGAATCCTGGTTCTACCGTGTATTGACTGTGGGCGAGATTCCTGCCCTCTCTGGGCCTCAATTTCTTCATCTGTAAGATGGGATCATAACAGCACCGATCTCATAGGGTGGATGTGAGAATGAAACGGGCTCCTGTGTGTATCACGTTTAGAACAGTGATTGGTTCTCAGTAACGCAGATGAATTATTGGCTGGTGGACTTTGTTTGTTTGTTTGTTTTTTTAAGACCTGCACCTTAAACATAATGAGTTGGTTAATAATTTCTCTCCAGTGCCGTGGCTTGTAAGGAATCTGTGATGAGGTGAATTAATGATCACACAAACAAATTATATGCAGGATTTCCTATAGTAATTTGGCCCAGACAGATGAGCTCTAAAGAGCCAAATTGGCTCATTAATCTCTGCTCCGAGGCCCGTGGTAAAGGAGGATCATTCGGCAAGAAGTGCCATCCACACGGAAATTTGTTTTCGACAGCAGCGTCGGGCTATTTCCAGCCTCAGCCTCAGGGGATGCATTTTGATTTTGTCTCAGGCTGAAGAAGAGGGGGAGGTTTTAGTAAAAAGTGTAGGAAAGGGCAGAAAACAAATGTTGCAAGGTGCCTGGGAAGCCACTGCCCGCTAGGACTGAGCGGGAAGCCACTAGATCCAGTTCACGGCCAAGTCCCCAGCAGCAGCCTTCCGTTCAGGGAGATTAGAGGCAAGTTCGCAAGGAAAGCTCACTCACCGCAGAATTAGACAACCCCAGTCGGTGCCAGGCTGCCAGCTGTGCACACAGGTACAAGCACATCCGTCTCAAGGTCAGGATCCAAGACTTCCAGGTCTCTGTGTCTCCTTCTGAAATGACGATAACAGCTACCGTTTGTGGGTGCTTAGGACATGCCCAACATTATGCGAGCCACTGGACACAGATTGCTTTGGTTTCTCCTCCTGAAAACCCTCTGAGGCAGAAAAAAAACCCATTTTATTGACGAGTCAACTGAGGCAAAGTGATTTCCCCTGGACACACAACTAATCAGGCTTCGAACCCAGACAGTGTGACCCTGGGGCTTGCCCGCTCCCACACTACGCGTGCTGCGTTACACAGGCGTCCTGCAGAAGCAGCGGCCACTTAAACACTTCGTTGTTCGAATATATACTTAAGTGAATACACACTTAACGAATGGATGAGGCTGCTGTAGGATGGACTCTAGCCCCATCCCTGGAGTCTCCCCTGGCTGGGCTCTGGGCTCCATGAATAGATGCTGACAGGGAGACCAGCCTGCCTTTCCTAGGCCCTCTCTTGGATGATTAAAGCAATACTTTGGCTTCCAGGATCCTGGGGCTGTGGACCTTCCCTGGAGTCCACCCCTGGCTGGGATCACTAGCACCAGGGTGGCAACCCCCGAAGGTCAGCCGATGCCTGTTGGATTTTTACAGCAACACCAGCTCGACTGCAGATCTGCCCAGCAGTCAGGGACTCTTCCCAGTGGCCGCTGCTGGGTCTCTCCTCTCGTGTCTGATATGCCACCAGGTCCCCTAACCTGGCTCTGCTTCTCCTTGGCTTGTTGGGAACAAGAACGACTTTCAGGTTATTCCAAGCTCATCTTTAAGACATAATCGCCGGCAGAATCTGAGGGGACTGAATAAAAGGAGGTCATTCGGACCCTGTAACCCCCGGCTAGAATCCGCTGCACCGACAGGTAACCTGACAACAGGCCTCAGCCACAGGAACCCTGATGAAAAATGAGATCCCCAGTTCCCCTGCCTCCTGCACCATCCGCAGCTCTGCTGAGGGTGGAGGCCCCGTGCGAGGGATGTCCCCGCCCCTCCCCAGCCCATAATGAATAAGCGCTTGCTCTGTCTGCCAGGCTGGGGAGGGTGGGCAAGCCCCTGTCTTGCACTGGAAATTCACCAGCTGAAGAATCGCAAGTCTGGACCAGCCCCATCGCCCAAGGCTATGCGGATCGGCTCCTGCTCAGATCCCAGCAGCTGGACAAAATCTCGTTCCTCGTCCCTGAACACGACATGGGGAAACAAACAGTGGCATTTGCCGTGTTAACGCCCTCTGCAGCCTGTGGCACATGCCATGCATACTGAGCACTGTCGAAAGCTCGCTCACCCAGGACTGGGAGGTGAACATGGGCTCTGAGCGGGGAGAATGAGCTGGTCTAAGAGAGAGCCCCCCAGCCGACAGCCACGGAAGGTCCTCCCTCCCTTCCGATTTCCATAGCGGCTGTGCTCTGGGCATAAGGACCCCAAGGCTCAGGCTGGGCCCTGCGTCCACAGCCCAGGGCCACCGAGGAAGGAGGCCCTTCCAGGCTCATCGGAAAGCTCCCTCCTAGTAAGAATGGCTGTTTGTATTTCCAAATTTCCCTTTCTTATAAGAACACCAGTCAGGTTGGCTCAGGGCCCACCCTAATGGCCTCATTTTAACTTCATCAGCTCTTAAAAGCCCTCTTTCTAAGCAAGTACTGGGGACTAAGGCTTCAACATGTAACATTTGAAGGGGCACAGTTTGCTCCATAACAGCCCACTTCTTACTCCGGCCAAGCCATTCTGCCACCATCCCTGTGTTTTCACAGCTTGGCAGAGTCTCTCACTCTCTCTCTCTCTCTCTCTCTCTCTCTCTCTCTCTCTTATTCCCATGCATCCTCCAAGGCCATTTCCTCCGAGCAGCTTTGCCTGACCAGCTCACACAGGTATAAGTCCCTCCTTGGCATTCTTTACCATTCATAGCAGGAGTCAAAACCCCTCGAATTGTATGGATGAATGGATATGGGTTACTACTGACGGTTAGATCATAAGCTTCTAGTATGTAAGAATTCAATCTTAGATGTTTTGGATCTCCTCGTATCATTTCTCTAGTATGGGCTGGTGCTATAATATATACACATGTCCTCTTCATCAGAGAGGGGTGAATACGCTGCCTCTGATGAGATAACTCTTCAGCTCTAAGGGATGTGTTGGGTTATCGTT